TGGTACAGGAGGATATTGCGCCTCCTTCTCCGGCAGAGCATCTGGTGGATTCGAACCGTGTTCCTCTGGGATTGCAGTGCAGCTTCTTGCCACTAGGCCATCAGAGCTCCCCCAGAATAGCAAAATTTAACAGAACAGCAAGCAACAAATGTTGGTGATGTTGTGAAGAAACTGGAGGCCTTATTCACTGTTGGTGAAAGTATAAAATGGTGCAACCACTTTGGAAGGTGGTATGGCGCTTTCTCAAAAAGTTTCAAATAGAGAGACGATTTGAACTACCAATTCTGTGACTGGAAATATACTCCAAAGAGACCATAACTGACATCCAAGCAGATATATGTACTCCCATGTTTATTGTGGCTTTGTTCACAATAGCAAGGAGCTGGAAACAACCCAAGTGCCCATCAACAAATGAATGAATAGAGAAGCTGTGGTATATTCACACAAATGAATACTATGCTGCATTGAAAAACAAGGAACTCATGCAATATTATTCAAAATGGGTGACCCTTGAAGACATTATGCTGAGTGAAGTATCTCAGTCACAAAAGGACAAATACTGCATGGTGCCCCTGTTGTAAAACAGGACTGACATCAGGGTTGGGGGGAGACTGAGAAAGATGGGTTCAATAATGTATACTGCATTGAAACAGATGAGAGAGAAAACAATTTAAAAGGGATATGTGATTACGTGTTTTTGTCATGACAGTAGTCCAGAGCAAAGGCTGCATAGTGGAGTGAACCTGCGAGGGAGGGATTGTACAACAATGAAAGAATTTTTCTTTTACTTTTCCAAGAGGGTAGTGTACTAGGCGGGAGGGTTGGGAGGGAAGAAAAGTGCAACAATGAATGAATGGAAATTTAAAAAAAAGCTAATGAATGAATTATTACATACTTTTTTGATCATAAAAATTCACCAAAGAACATAAGCAGTTTTTCATGATAAGATATCATACATAATGCTGTGGCTACAAAATGTATCTGATTTTGAGCACTACAGATTTCAATATTGTCAAAGGAGTTTTAAAAATAATTATACACTCAACATTTTTTCCCTGTGTGGTTTAAAATTCCTGTACTGTCTCCATACCTTTTCAATATGGATGCATAACGTATCATTTGAGAGGCTGGGTTTTATGAGGAGGAATGTGACATCAGGACTGGAGGAAGACTTGTCAGCAACTTGTGATATACAGATGACACAACCTTGCTTGGTAAGATTGAGGAAGACCTGAAGTGTTTGCCACAGAAGTCAAAGATTGTTGTCTTCAATATGGATTGAAGCTCAACACCAAGAAAACAAAAATTCTCACCATTAGGCCAATTGGCAGCACCATGACAGATGAAGAGGAGATTGAGGTGAATATTTACAGCTTGCTTGGCTCCAGTATCAACTCTGTTGGCACCAACAGTGAGGAAATCAAAAGAGTAATTGCACTGGGGAAGTTTGCTTTCAGGGACTGCTCCAGAGTGCTGAGGAGCAATGATGTCATTCTAAGGACTAAGATGTACCTGATCCAGGCCATGGTCTTTGCAGTGATTTGGTAAGGAGAAGAATAGAGAAGAAGGAGGTGGAGGAGGAGGAGAAGGAAAAGGAGAAGGAGAAGGAGAAGAAGAAATACCTTTGTGTTGTGGTGATGATGGAGAGAAATACTGAACATACCATGGACTGCCAAGAGAACAAACAGATCAGTATTGAAGAGGATGAAACTAAATTTCTCCTTGGAGGTCAGGATTTTGAAGCTCTATCTCACATACTTTGGGCACGTGGTCAAGAGGGACCAGTCCTTGGAATAGGACATCATGGTTGAAAGGGTGAGCACAGGAGAGAAAGACCCAGGGTGAGATAGATTGACACAGTAACTGGGGTAATGGGGGTTGGTGTGTCAGAGTTTGTGAGACTGACTCATGATAGGGCAGGCTTCAGAGCTACTGTACACAGGGCACTATGAATCACAGGTGAGTCGATGGCACATAGCAACAACAATAACTTTAAAAATGATTAAGTCAATGTTAAAATATACATTCTGAGTGTAGATGTCTTACCTCTTTGAGGACGTTCTCTAAAATTTCAGCATACTTTTCAAACGGCTGCTCAAAGTTCATTTCCTTTGTCATTTTTCTAGTTTCTTCCATCATAGCCACTACCTCAGGATGGTCTTCAGTTACCTCTTCTATTGTGTCCTCTATCAAAACTGAAGGTAAATACATTAATGCATCAATGGCATTGATAATTTTAGTGGACAATGTACTGGCAACAAAATATTGTTAGTGCCTGACCCAGAAAAGTATTATCTTTGTGTCACTGCAGCACATGTGAGAGGTAAAAAGAAATCAGAAGATAAAATGTTAGCTCAAGAATCACAAATTATCAGTGGAGGGGCTTCAAGCTGGTGCATGAGAATGAAGGTGAATGAGGCAAAAAGAAAGCCATGCTTGGCAGGAGTCAAAATCTAGGAAGCTGAAGGACAACAAAGGATCGCAGGGGTCACGTTTAAATATGAGCAGCTAAAAAGTGAGACAAAAACAGAGAACAGGAAGTCTTTTCTGATAGAATGATCAAAGATCAGCCTTAGTGTGGAACACAGCTCAACAAAAAGAAAACAAAGATGCTCACAACAAGACCAATAGCCAACATTATGATAAACAGAGAGAGGACTGAGATTGTCAAGGATTTTCTTTTTCTTGGATCCACAATTACTGCAATGCAATAATATATAGCATTGTGAAAATCTGCTGCAATTTTTTTTTAAGGTCTGGAAAAGCAAAGATGTCATTTTGAGGACTCTAATATGCCTGACTCAAAGCTATGGCATTTTCTTTTTCATTTAATTGTGATTTCAACAAAAGTTTACAGAAAAGTTGAATTTCCATTCATTCATTGTTGTACATTTTCCCCCACATCCCCCCAGTTCACTTTTTAAAAAAATCACTAATTCATTATTACATAATGGTGTTTTATGAATTTTTATTTATTTTTAATGTTGCATAATATTCCTTTGTGTGCAAGTACCATAGTTTATTCATTAATCTACTGATGAACATTAGGTTGTTTCTCTCTCTTTGCTATTGTAAAGAGATACTGCAATAGATGTGGGTATGTATGTATCTTTTTCTACCACAACTCTTTTTTTCTTTAGGATTTGTATCGAGCAGGACTGCTGAATCAAATGGAATTTCTTTTTTCAAAGAAGTACTATACTGTTTTCCAAAGTAGCTGCACTGCTTTACAGTCCCACCAACTACATTTGCTTCTTCTTGTCCTCATATGGTGCTGATATGTACCTTTTTGTGGGCTTTGGGTTGTCCCCTGTTATGAAAGCTAATCCACTGCTCTAATAAGGCAAGAGTTTGGTCGCTCCATTGGTTACTTTTCTTCTGCATTCTGACTTATGCTGCCTGACCTTCGGTTCCAGGGCTCCATTTTTTAGAGTCTTCCACCATGGTGTGATGATCCCAGCCCAGAAACCCCCAAAATGTTCTTCCATGAAGTGAGAAATCTCTTCTTAGGGATGGAGAGAATAATGCATTAAAAAGAATGCAAAATCTCTTCTTAAGGCCCTAGTACTAGGGATCATGATGAGGCATCCAAAAATACTAGATATACTTGAAGTTGCTTATTGTCCACTCAATATGTAATATTCTCCTTCTTAATTACCTTGATGATTTTTTTTAGGAGAGTAACTCTGGTGGCCTCGTGATAAGAAGCTATGCTGCAATCTCAGAGGCATAGAGTTCAAATCCACTACTTGCTTTGCAGGAGAAGGATGTAATACATTTTCTCTTGTTAATATACTGCCTCTGAAAAACACTGCAGGAGGGTCAGCTATAAAACAGTTCTGACTCAACAGCATACAACAACAACAAACAAACAATATGTACAGTTGAAAAGATTAGTACCTCCTAGCTTCTCTTAAAGCTTGAGTTTACCAGGGAAGAATTAAGTGTGTGTGTTATGTGTGTGTGCATGCTCGTGCATATGTCTGTCTTCCAGGCAACTCTTTAAAGGGAATTAGCTGCCTCATTGAGTGCTGTGTTCCTGGTTTTGCTCGGTAGCCTTTCCCCTCTTCTGCCAAGCATACTGATTTGATAACTAGAGCTCCAGCAGCTATATGGTAAATGGTTGTGATTGTTGTGTGCTCTCAAGTAGCCTGCAACTCATCGTTGACCCTATGACAGCTCTGAAGCCTGCCCTGACCTGAGCCAGTTTTACTGACTCTGCCTCATCTACCTCCATTGCCTCAGTTACTGTATCAATTCATCTCATCCAGAGTCTTCCTCTCCTGTGCTGTCCCTCCACCCTTCCAAGCATGATGTTCTTCTCCAAGGACCAATCCCTCCTGGCCACATGCCCAAAGTATGTGAGAAGGAACTTGAAAATCCTAGCCTCTAAGAAGAATCTTAGTTTTACCCTCTCCAAGATAAGTTTATTTGTTTTCTTAGCGATCCATGGTATATTTAAGATTCTTCTCCAGCACAACTTAAAGACATTGATTCTTCTGTCATCCTTAGTCATTGTCCAGCTTTCTAATGAATAGCAAGTCATTGCAAAGACCATGACTTGGATCAAGCACATCTTAGTCTTTAGACTGACACTGTTGCTTTTCAGTACTCTGGAGAGGTCCCTGACAGCAGATTTTCCCAGTGCAATTCATCGTTTTATTTCCTGGTTTCTGGTACCATAAGTGTTGATTGTGGAAAGCAAGCTGTAATTGTTAACAACCTCACTCTCTTCTCCATCTATCATGGTGCTGCTAATTGGTCCAGTGCTGAGAATCTCTGTCTTCTTGACATTGAGCTTCAAGCCATATTCCAGGCTGCAGTCCTTGACCTGCAACAAGCACTTCAGGTTCTCCTCAGTTTCAGCAAGCTGGGTTGTATCATCTGCAAAATGTAGATTGTTGATCAGTCTCCCTCCAATCCAGATGCCACATTCCTCCTCCTAAAGCAAACTTCCTGCATGATCTGTTCTGCATATAGATTGAAAAGATATGGAGACAGGACTAACAGTTGTAAATGGTTATGAAAGCTATGTCAGGGATAACAGAGATGACACTTTTTTCCCTGACCAAACTAACATCTCATGCTATTTTATGTGTTTCTACATGTCCAACTATTTTTTATAGAGTGCCCTTTAAGATAAAGTTGTATATTACTAATGTTTTTTTTAAAAAGTAACTTATTTTGCCTTGTAAATTCTGAATGAGCTAATAATCCAAATATTAATTATGTGCTTTAAAATCACACAACTGGAATTGTTCTCAATTACGGCCTTAAGGTTTTCTTTTAAATGTGGACATAATTTCACTGCTGTCTTTTTCATCAGAGAATGAAAAAATTGTTAATACCCCATAATGTTAAAGGAAGTGGGGTCCCCAAGAACCCAGAACTTACATCTTTAAATTTTTATTAGGTAGTAATCATAACATTAAAGTATAGAGAAACAGTTATCAGCAGTGGAAAAGAAAAATAATAACTAAATTTGTAACAGTAACACTGGTAATTTCAGTTTTTATGATGTCAGTTGATGTAAATGGAAGTAAAAATCAATATTACTCTTTTTGAGTTAACTATCACTTTTTTTAGGGAGCTCTGGTGGCTTAATGGTGAGGATTTGTACTACTAGCCCAAAGGTAGGCAGTTTGAATCCAACCACTTCTCTGTAAGAAAAAGATGGCCAATCTCCTCTTGTGTGACTTATTGCCTCTGAAAATCCATTAGGGCATCAACTACAGATCAGTTCCAGTTTGATGGTCCATAACACTACCATTTAACTCCAAAATGCAAAGCCTGTTTTATCTCAAAGACATGGGGAAGGAGTGTTGGTCAGAAAAGGCTTTTTCACCAGTGCACATTCAGTCTAGGCATCCCTTTAGCAGTGGGTAGAGGCACTGATGTCTGCTTTTAATGTGGGCTGTCTCTACAAAGACAGAACAGACTCTGTATAGGAAGAGGAGGGACTTGCTTTGTATATTGGTGCTAGCCAGCAGAGATGGGATTGCCAGCCAACATGTTCACGTATGGGGAAGTCAAAGATCCTTCTGTGAAGTATGTGCCGATGTGCATGATGGGCAAAGAGGGATGAGTTTTTTATAGTCCCCAATTTGACTGTTACTAGGCTTGAAATAAACACCATGCTCATCTCCCTGTACAACTGTGGGTGAAAACAAAACCAAACCCCAACCCTTCATATTACATAACAAAATAAATTATAGACACATTATAAAGTTGAGCCAATAAATTTTTTTAAAAAATAAACTATGAGTCTATTTTAAATATGATTGATTAATGTAAGAAATCAACAAATGCCAAAAAAAGGGCAGAGAATGGCATAATTGATTTAGAAAATAACTGAACTATATGCTGTCTACAAGGGACACTACATAAACTGGGGGAAAGTATTCCATGCAAACAGTAACTGAAAGAGAGCTCATGTGACCATTTTAGTATCAGGCAAAACTGACTTCAGTTAAAATCTATACAGTTACTATGAGTTGAGTTAAAGACAACAGCAAAGACTTAGGTGCTTCTGTGGTTTGTTAGAGGCTCAAGTTTACCAGGGTGAGGTTGAAGAAGGAAAAGGGATGTCTTAGCTTAAGAGGCTAAATTTATGCTAATGAGAATAAAATAATTTGGAAGCAGTTAGTGGTAATCAATGAAACTGTAATCAATGCCACTGAAATATATATACAATAAATGTTGAATTAGCAAATATTTTGTTATATTTTTATCACACTAAATAGTAATAAAAAAGTGAAACAAAGGAAAAGTAATTTGACTAAAATATGAGAAATATCTCTTCTTCAAATATAGTAAGTTAATTTAAAAGATATACTATTCAATTTTGAGAAATAAAAAGAAACAGCAGGCTAATATATCAAGTTTACAGAGAGGCCATAAAATAAGACAATAATATAGAAAAATGAGCAAAAGATTAAAATGGCTGCTTTGAAAAAGAGTATGTCTAAATATTATTCTTTTAAAGTAATATTAAAATATTAACTCAAAAAATAGTGAAATAAAATGAAAATACTCAGCAAACAATGACACATGCTTTGTCTATTAATGAGGAGAACAAAATTTGGAGTAACTTTTATAAACAACAGTTTGACTCTACCTACAGCTTCCCACTCATTAATCTAGGAATTTCACTTAAGATGGCATGTGCTAAATACTTCATTGAGGCATTATTCAGAGTAACATCAAAAGTGAAAAAAAGAACTTAAAAGTGTAACAGAAAGGATTTGTTAAAACGATTGACCATAATAGGGAAACCTGTAATTTAAATTATCTCCTAATGAAGTATTATTAAACTCACTCACTCACTGCAGTCAAGTAGGAACCAATTCATGGTTGACCCTTCAGCAGGCTTTCAGAGTCTATAAACTGCGTTGGAGGACACTGGCCATCTTTTTCCCACAGAGCAACAAGAGCATTTGAACCACCAAAGAGATATGGCCTCTGGATTAGTTAAATATCATAAGATTTACCATTTTACCTTCACCAGAAAACAATTTATCCTCTCAATTATGTCAAAATGGGGAAAGAAAAATTTTATAAGGATATATAACAACATGATAAAATGTCATGGCTCAAGTTACCTATTTATGGTGTTTTAATCTCAGCACACTTACAGGGAACAAGAGTCGTGAATTTAGAATTGTTTGATAATGATATTATTATGTTTGAAAACTCTGACTTTTTTTCCTCTCATTGTGTTTGATTTTTCAGTATGTTTTCTTGTTCATCTCAGTACATCGACTTCTTCTGCGCTATAGCTATTAAGTTCAAACCAATCAGGTTTTCTCCTCCTGGTGGGTTTTCCCCACCTCCCTCCTTTTTAAAAATTGTGATTTTAACGAAAGTTTTTAGATAAATTAGATTTACATTCATTCATTGTTGCACATTTAACCCTCTTTCCCTCACATCCCTCTCCCCTAATTAACTTAAAAAAATATTCATTCTTTGTTGTACAATTACCTCCCTCTTGGTGTTTTATGTGTGTGTGTGTAATTTTAAGCTCAATATAAATATAGGCTGAAATAGAAAATAAGTGGACATAAAATCTATAAGCATAGCATTCACCATCAATTTCTTTATGATCTTCTTTATCACTTCTGGCTTTGAGATCATCTCCATTTTTCTCCTCCTTCATTGTTGTTTCTTCCATTTCCTCAACAGTGGTTTCTTTTAGGGAGCTCTCGCGGAGTACTACAGAGACAGAATAATGGGTTTTATCAGCTAATCTATTCATGTTAGGAAATATTTGACCAATTGTAGTGACAATGTATTTCTTTACCATTTTCTTCAGCTATTGAGGACAAGTCTTCTAGGCTTTTAGACAATTCCATGGGGAGTTCTTCATACTCCTTTTTCACAGCTTCCCCTTGATAGTCTCTTAAAGCTCTAATGGCTGAAAGATAGTAACCGGTGGTGTTAGTCAATAAAGCAGGTATGGGTTTGTCATTCTGACTTAGGAGCCTTGTGACTTTGGTAAATTACTTGTTCTCCCTGCCTCAGTATCAACTTGCCAAAATGTGTTTTATAAAACTTAGAGCACTTATACGAGGACTCAGTACGAAGATAAATGTAAGAATTTAGAAAATGCTTGTCACACTGGAAGCCCGTTCTAGGTTGTTGTGTGGCATCCTGAGAGTCTTCTGACCCATGGTAACCTATTAGTATGGAACAGAACTGCCTCGTAAGGTCTTTTTGGATGTAATCTTTAGGGAAGGAGACTGCCACATCTTTGCTCCACTGAGTGGTTGGGGATTGAAGTGCTGACATCTTGGCTAGCCTTCCAGGGCAAGACCATTGCATCACTAGGGCTCCTGCTCCACACTAGCCTGGCTCCTCTGGTCACTTACAAAAGATGACATGTATTTACTGCAGTGACTTACAGCATTTGAGATACCAGACCAACAATGAATTAAGAGTAATGAAAATTTTGCTAGTCTCGGATATGCTTTATGTACTAACACTTCACTCAGTTATGTTGTCTACAATAACATAACCTAGAATAAAGATAACTTTCTAACTAATCTGTGAACTGTATATCACAGGCTCTTAAGGAATCATAAGAAATGTGAATAGAATGGGGGGGGTTTGTGCGGGGAGAAGGGTGCAACAATGAATGAATGGAATCCCAAAATCTCTGTAGATGTTCATTGAAATGGAAAAATAAACAACCTAAATTAAAAAAAAAAAAGAAATGTGAATAGGAAAAAAAGTAAGGGTGAATGCATCAAATTCTAAATAGTAGATATCTTTTGATTGTGCTTATGTGAAACTTATACTTGAACCAGGAGGCAGTCGTGAGAACAGAGCAAGGAGACACTGCATGGTTCAAAATCAGGAAGAATATATTCTGTCTCCATACCTTTTCAATTTGTATGCAGAAAAGATCATCCGGGAGTCTGGGCTGTATGATGAGGAATGTGGCATCAGAATTGGAGGAAGATTAATCAACAACCTGCATTATGCAGATGACACAACCCTGCTTGCTGACATTGAGGAGAACCTGAAGCACTTGCTGCAGAAGGTCAAGAATTGCAATTTTCAATACGGATTGAAGCTCAACATTAAGAAAACAGATTCTCACCACTGAGCCAATTGGTAGTTTCATAATGAATGGTGAAGAGACTGAGATTGTTAACAGTTCTAGTTTGCTTGGTTTCGCAATCAACACTCTTGGTACCAGCAGTCAAGAAATCAAGAGATAGGGGAGCTCTGGTGGCCTAGTGGCAAGGAGCTGCAACTACAATCCCAGTGGCTCATGGTTCAAATCCACCAGATGCTCTGCCGGGAAAAGGAGGGACAATCTCCTCCTGTACCAGTCAGATCTAATTTGACGGTACACTCACACAAAAATTAAAAAAAAAAA